TTATTAATAGCTCAATATCGTGACAACTAGTTTTAGTCCAGGATTATTTGAAAAACAACCAGAATATTTCCGTAAAATCTTTCGTAAATCTTCTATTTGCTCGGATTTCAACCTTTTCTCGATTCATTCTCCTATATGATTCCGAAATTTAATATATTGGATTGGAAGGTAACGAGAAATGTCCATTCTAAGTCTCCTTCCACTTAGTTATCATATTAATCTTCTGGTATTTTGTAATATGGTTTAAGCATGTTAATGTGATATACTTGATTTGGCTCATTTGTTCCTCGAAACTTACAATATAATTGGTTTCTGAAATTTTCTGCTCTATTTTTCCAGGTCTTTCCACTGTACTTCTAGTTTATTTGACGATTGTTGATAAAACAAGAACTAATTCCTCTAGCAAATTCTCTTTCACTGCGTTTCGATCGTACCATGTTTCCTCCGTTGTTGAGCTTCTTTCATGTTTTCCACGGCAAGTTCTTGGCATTTCTTCATTCGATTAATAAGTTCGAAAACGTAACTGACAACATTATTACTTCTTCAATCGGTTCTAGCCACTGCTCATAAGTAAAGTGACTGGTGTTCGTAGGTTTTTGCCATGAACTAATTCTGCTGGTGTAAAACCAGTGCTTCGTGTGTGACGTTCTGCGAGCAAAAGAACTGATGGTAGATAATGCTCCCAATCCGAGGTCGCTCCTATACATACGACTCTTAACACCCTTTTTAGCGTTCTATGAATCGCTCAACGGATTACTCTGCGGATGACACACAGAGTTCTTACTGTTTAATGCCGAAACGCTCCAAAAATTCTCTGTCAAAGCACTGACGAAAGAGGTCCCCTGATCTGTTTGGATCACTTTTGGGAAACCCATACGACTGAAAATCTGTAAGAAAGCATCAATCACAGATGGCGAAAGAAATGTCTGTCACCGCAACAGCATCTGGATATTTGGACGACATACACAGAGCTGTAATAATATATTTTTTTCCAGTCTTCGAAATAGGTAGCGGACCAACAGCATCGACATATATTTTAGTGAATATTTCGGAAATTACTGGTACTAATGTCATTGGAGCCTTCTTTTTGTCATTTCCTTTTCCAGCGCGCTGACAAGCATCGCAGGTTCTTACAAAATCTTCAGTTTCTTTGTAACACCTCGTCCAATAAAAATATCTAGCAAGTCTGTCTTTGGTCTTTTTGACACCCAAATGACCAGAAGTTCCTTCGTGGCACATGTTTATAATTGACAACTTGAGTTTTTCAGGTATAACTACAAGCTGTCTTTTCAAAGCCCATTTATCAGTCGTTTTTTTAACTAAAAGCTCTTTTCTTGTCAGACTATAGTTTTCATTTTTGCATGTACCTTCTTTAACTTCTTGGATGATTTTAGACAGCTCCTTATCAGTAAGCTGAAGTCGTGCAACTTCTTCTGAGTCAATTTTTACCAGTTTCATGAGAGCTTCATCTTCCGTATTTAGTTCCGGTAAATTATCTTCTTCTTCAAAAACATCTCTGGATGCTTTATTTTCTTCCTTCATCGGTTCCAAGAGCTTCTCTTCAGCTATTTCTCTTTTCCTTTGAGCTCTAGTAGAGACAGCATTAACCTGGTGAGGACAACTATCAGGCTCCTTTCCTTGTTTATTCAACAGTGCAAAAGTTCGATTGCCTAATAAATACCTTCCTTTGTCGAGTTCATTTCTAATAATGGCAGCCTTAGTTATTACTCGCCCAAGATCGCAATTTAGTTCGATCTCAGCCAATGGTAAACAGGTTGGATTCAAATCTAATGGCTGTTGCACCCACACATTTTTCACCTGTCAGCATTTCCGGCGTGATGTATTTGCGACAAACTATATCAATACTAGCACTGAATCCCTTAATATAGGAATTTTATGACCATTTACGTAACCCATACTAGTATAAGGTAATAGAAATTTATCCTCTGGTTTTGCACTAATTCTGTTAAGATTAGCAGAAGATTCAGTACTCTATTCTTAAGTTTTGGACATTGGGGATCTTAAATGTTGATAGGACCCACACTGATAGCATTGTGGCGTCTTTCGTTTTTCATATTTATCATCTGAACGTGGACTTCTAGGTCTATGAAACAAGCTTTGCGTATTAAATCCTGATGACAATTTTTTTTCAGTTTTATTTTTATTATCTGAACTCAGTTTACCTTGAGTTAGTGCATTGTATCTTTCTTTCTGCCGATCCACTACAGGCCTCTTTTGAAAGTTTCCGCAAACGTTTTCATAGGCATCAAGTTTTTCAGCTGATTTTTTCGATGAAATCATCTCTACCCATTCATCAAGAAAATGATCTCGAATTTCAGGAGGAACTCGACGTTTAAGTTGGTCAAGCACCATCAAATCTAGCAACTGATCAAAAGTCTTAACTTCTAGACCAGTCACCCATTCCTTGCAATAATTTTCTATTTCATAATTGAAATCCACCCATGTGAATTCGGTACTTTTTTTATGTTTCATAAATTTCTGCCTAAACCTTTCCGGGCTTAGAAACCGTCTTAACAATAAATTTTTCACGTGTTCACAGTCATTAGCTTTATCGGAGGGTTCTCTAGCTATTAACTGGGTTACTTCGTAAGGAAGTAGTCCTAGTAAATGAGATACAAATTCTTCTTTATCAATATTGGCCCATTCTGCTTGCCTTTCAAACAATAGCAAATATAGACTGTTATCTCCTTTCTTGTCGTCGAATTTCTGCATAAGGTGACGCAGCTCCGTTTTCGGCCGGATCTGTCCGGTATTTTGAGACTTTGTCTCTGCTTCAAGTCTTAATCTCTCTAATTCATACTGTTCGTTCCTTCTCCGCTCTTCTGCTTCTTCCTGTCTCCTACGTTCTTCTCTTTCCTCTCTCTCTTTTTCTCTTTTCTCCTCTCTTTCCGTTCTTCTATTATTGTGTCTAAGACTCCTTTGACGAATACCTCATCATAATCTCTCTACTTTCAACAATTTTCTGTTTTAAATCGACTATTTTCAAATCTGCAGTCACATGAACTCCCAGTTCAGCCGCGAGATTTTGCAAATCTTCCTTACGAGCTCTTCCCAAGTAAGACATTGTTTCTATGTTTAAAATTAACGAACACTGTGTTCTTTATATTTCCTCAAAATAGCTCAATTAATTACTTTAATTAATTAATGCAGTCAGGAATCACGAAATGAAATGCACTCTGTTAAATACGTATACCTCAAAAATGAAATATTTAAATTATATGAAGTTCATTCTCTCTACCACATTAATGGTGACTAAAATAAGAATAACAACATAGAGCAATATATATATCTACTGTCTGGACAACTAAAATGAATATTAAAAATAATATCCAATACGGTAATAAAAATAAAACAATTCAATATTAAAAGGAGGTAATAATCTGGTATCACTAATATTGCGTTCAGTGATGAACTAATAACATAAAAATACGCACGATTATTCGATCTCGGTCAGTGCCTCCAAAATAATTATGACTGTGATACTTCTTTGGCAATATGAAGCAACTCCAATGATGGAACACAGAAAAACCTTTATTTAGCACTCAAAATGGCGACATACAAACAAGAAGAGAAAACATATTCTATCATTTAAAAATAAATTACATTCTTCGTGCGAGAGTCGCACGAGGCACTCGAGTCTGGTTTCAAATATTGCCATTCACAAATACCTTAATGTTCATCTAATTAAATTATTTAAACTACAAGTTTTTAATATTATTTAAATCTGTTACAAGCCGTTACGTAATCGTCTGTCTGCAGCAGCCATCTCCAACAAATACCATCCCTCTCTTCTGATCAGAACCTCACTGTACTTGAAATCCACATTAATAAATGGCCCCCCCTCACTAGACAGAAGTATTGGAGTTACAAATTGGATCAAATACACAGAAATTCTGAATAAATCCATACAAAGAAATCTATGCATTAAATGCAAATCTATGCATAGATTCTCTTCTCATCCTCTCACCCACCTCCTACTTCACTGTGCTTCTTTCTTTCCCCCCTAGATTGCTTATCAGAAGCCGAGTAAGAAATACGATCGAGAATTCGTGGTCGTCGTTCGTCGTCACCCACATGCTTAAAGGAGCCATGGCGCCACCAAGGCTGTTCTTCGCAGAATATCCGAAATTTCGTAATTTGAGGTAAAAAAATTCTGCATTCAGCGATATTTTTCAGGTTAATTACAAATAACTCTTTTATTACTATGTATTCCACTTTTATTACTATGTATATTTTCTTGGTATTTTGTAGTATATGGTTAAGTAGAATTGTTTTTTCTTCTTTTTCTTTTCTTTCTTTTTTCTTTTTTTTTTTTTTTTTTTACAAAAACTGAAAGGTTCAAAGACCTTTCTTTTGAAAACCCAATGACCGACATCCAAAACCAAACCCAATGGCTATCATAATTGCCTTATCTTAAAAGTGTGATAAATTATACACATTATTTCGTTGCTATAAAACCGAAAGCTAACTGCACATTACTGATTAGTAGCACTTAACGCACTTAAATCAGCATTAAAACCTACTCAAAGTTCAAATTTTAAATGCAATTTTTTTGTGTGTACCTCAGATTTCAAACATCTGACCTTTAAAAAATAAATAGTTCAAATTCTTGTGTGAATAATGTGTACAAAACTTCCTAAATCATGCTGTCAGAGCTTGTTATTATATGTGATTTATGAACGAGCATATGTTGGTTGGTGCTTATAATAGAGTTTTTCGTTTATTTAATCGTAGAATATAACTTTAAATAAATCATATCAGAGTTTTAAAATATTCTAAAATTTTATAAAGCATTCAGTTTTATTTATTTGAATCATAAATATCCTTAGGGTAGCTCACTGGAATATTTAAATAATGTTTAGTAGCGCCATCACGCTTACGTTTCTGCCCCTACTCCAAAAATGGAATCGTCTCATATGTATCAATCTTACCCAGTGTGCGCTTCATACATTCCTTTTATTTGTTAACGTGTTGTGATGTTGTGAATTGATGTTGTTTTGTGTTGACAAATAAAATAGTTAATGAATTTTAATTCCAGTTAATAATAACGCTTAATGAGAGAAATAGGATGACATGAATTTGAAGTTATCCCAATTCTCACTCTCTCTGGGAAAATCGATAAAAGTAGGTTCGAGCAAAACAACGTTAAAATAAAGGCAACCTCATTATGCGAATGAGATTAATGGGATTAAAAATAAAATTATATTGCGCATGCGTATGCTATTCTATAATTTTTAGTTTTTCAAGATGGACGCCGGGATATCAGGAATAGTTCACATGGATAATATAGCTGAAAATAGCATAATTCAACCGGACAATGCAAAAACTCGACAGGCTACTAGATATGGTGTAAGACTGTTTCGTGAATATTGCATTCAACATGGTGTAGAGACCATTAATAATTTGCCTCCGAGAGATATAGCTCGCATGTTGAAAGGCTTTTATGGGCAAGCTCGTACTAAAGATGGCCAAAGATTCAGTGTTAATTCATTGATTGCAATTCGGTATGCAATTAGCCGATATTATCGGTCTCCTATGGTACACAGAAAAATTGACATTGTTAAAGATAGTGCTTTTAATGATGCGAATGAGACATTTAGAGCAGTTTTGAAAGACCTGGAACGTGAATCCAGAGGTACAACATGTCAAAAAGAATTACAAATGGTTGATATGGATGATCGGCGAAAACTCAGGCATTATTTTGAACATGCAATCAGTACTCCCAGGGGTCTGCTACAAAAGGTGTGGTACGATTTAATGCTTCGAGTGGGTAGAAGAGGACGAGAAAGCCAGCGCCTTTTAAACCGGAATTCCTTCCGAATTGCAAAAACAGCTGATGGAAGGCAGTATATTTACCAGGTAAACTTTTTAAAGCCCCCTACAGAAACTTGAAACCGTAAATTAATGTTTATTTCATTGGGTGAGCATGAAGATTTCTAGATCTGTTATTCAGTTTTGGGCGTGATAACTTTGTAACCCCTAATTTTTTAAGCATATTAAGTTGTATGATTTTTAAAAAAAATTACTGACAATAGGATTGTGATAAATAATTTTTATACTCTGAAAAAATTAGTGCTAAAGCTCGAACTATTTAACCTTCATATTTTTCACCTAACAAATACTTAAAATAACTTTCTCCAAACAGTTCAAAATTTTTATGATTGTACACATTTGAAGCGTATGTGACAGTATAAGAGTATTATGATAACTAAAAAGTCACTATAGTTCTTCGCTTTTTTTTCAAATTTAAATGTCATTAGTATGTAACTGTTTAATATTAGTGTAAATTATTATTAATGATTAACCCATTTGTTTCAAATCTGTTCATTAGTAGAATCCTCATTGTTACTACAAGTAACAATATATGTGTTTGCTGACATTTCTGTGGGATATTTTCTATTTACCTGTTAAAGTAAGTAAAATTTTAAGAATGCTAACCATAGATCGAGATAGTGTTAATATCTTCTTTTTAAGTATATTCTTTACATGTATTCTTTATATTCTGTGCAGTAATGACTGTATTATTGCAGTTCTAACAGTGACATGATAGGTATTGTAAATAATAACAAAACAACAATATAATTAAGGTATAATTCAAATTATGAGTTATTTTTTGTGAAATTGTGATAACTTGCATTTATTATTTGATTGAGTACTATTTTGGGCTAGAATTGTTTTGAATGATAAAATTTTCAGTTTGGTACTCTGAATGATTGTTCTGTGATATGCAAGACTATAATTGGAACAGCTTTAATATTGGTCCTTTTTTGGCGACAAACTTTATCGCGCCAAAATGTCGCCAAAAACATTTCTCGCCAAAAAGGACTAATACTAAAGCTGTGCCCTATAATTAATTTACTTTGATAAAATGCTGTAATTTAAAGCCTCATTGTTAGTTTCTTTTTTTATTTCATTTATATATGAAGACCTCTGTGTGTCGTTAATGATCAGGTGTTGGTCACATATATGGTTTAGTTTATGACTATTTGAACAATAAATTTTATAATGTAATATATAACACCACATAAAGCACATTTATCAGTTTCTATATTAAATGCATGCACTGAATATAGAGTGCAGTATTACCAACATTAGTTATAAACTCTAAATATTCAGAAAAGGAAAGACCACTTGTCTTGCCTGTTTGATATATTCATGGTGAAGGTTCATATCATGGCAAACAGGCTGTATAAGATATTGTTGATTTCCTCTGGGTGTAACATAAATAAGAGGTTTTCTGAGAAAGTCATTCACAAGGACATGTCGGTTGATCTTTACATTATGGTAACTTGGCATTTTTTTGGCAAAAATTTGGCGACCAACTCTCCTACAGCAACCCTCTATTTTTTTTTGACATGTTTCTTTTCTTTTTATCTACTGAACACTTCTTCCAACAATCTACTAGCCGAATTACACTTATGCTAGAAATTTTATCTAACAAAACTGCTTAATCATGACAAATATTCACTGCAAAATTGGGTAAAAGTGCATAATACCATACTCCTTACGCGTTTTTCAAAATAACACATACACATAAACCATGTACACGCCGACTTATTTTTACTTAAAAAAAATCCCAGAATTGCACAAAAACGGCATTGTGCACACTCTTCACTATATCCATGTACACTGCTTTTTTTCTCATAAATTAGAAAAATTTCACGAAAATACATGACAATTTTCTCAATCTTTAAACCCGGTAAAAAGAACATATATGAAATTACCTGATTGTGAAAAAGTATTTACCCTTTCCAAATATGAACATTTCCACATATAAAATAAATAAAATATCCAAAAACTTTTACCTCTAAATCATCTATTACATTATACACGTCACCAACGAATTCATACCGCAAGCATTACAAATACTTAGTATCAAATATTTAAATTATTTCCATGCACGTTTACTTCAATTTAAACGTATACCAAATTCCTACAAACATAAAATTCACAAAATAACTATCATTTAATTAAAATATCACTAAACCATGTACACGCCGACTTATTTTTACTTAAAAAAACATCCCAGAATTGCAACAAAAATGGCATTGCGCACACCCTTCACTATATCCATGTACACTGCTTTTTTCTCATAAATTAGAAAAATTTCACAAAAATACATGACAATTTTCTCAATCTTTAAACCCGGTAAAAAGATCATATATGAAATTACCTGATCGCGAAAAAGTAATGAACATTTCCACATATAAAATAAATAAAATATCCAAAAACTTTTACCTCTAAATCATCTATTACATTATGCACATCACCAACGAATTCATACCGCAACCATTACAAATACTTACAGATATTTAAATTATACATTACAGATACCATTAACATTACAGATACCATAATAAATACCATTACAGATATTTAAATTATTTCCATGCACGTTTACTTCAACTAAAACGTATACCAAATTCCTACAAACATAAAATTCACAAAATAACTATCATTTAATTAAAATATAATTAAATTCAAAAACACTATTTAAAATATAAATGAGCACATACATTAAATTAATACATACATAAATACCCATTTCAAATTCACTTTAGTTACGGCCATGGGATCCAAAAATTCACGAACACTGTTTCACACAACACAGAATAAAGCCAAATACAAAATTTCCAGATTTTTTCCCGATTTCCCCCCTTTTCCGAGTAAAGAACCGTAATTCGTCCATTAATATCACGTGACATATCCCATGATCTCTCATTTCCCTCACACAAAATAATGCGTAATCGGAACTGAGTACTGCTCACATTATTACCAAAGTGCCAGGTAACCTTTATCGCCTCCAAAATGTCGCCAAACTACCAGTTACCATATTGTAAAGATCAACCGACATGTCTTCCTGACAGACAGCCTTTTTGTGCTTGCTACTTGCAGATCACCCGATGAGCAGGTTACATCCACAGCTGTACAGCCATAACTGTTGCTTGCTGCTTATCATTCAGCATTTAGTCCTGTCATCACAAACTTTTATGAATTCCAAAAAATGCTATCAAGATATGAAAAACTGCTCATGTATTTGATGGAGATAGGGCAATCAGCTCAGGAGCCCATTTACCACAAGTGTTATTTCATCAGTGGCTATCACACAAAGAGTAAAATATCATACTGACCGGCATGTCATTTTATGTGTCTGTGATTTATTGTTTTTCTGCTACATATTGTCAAAAAAGTTATGCAAATAAAAACTTTGAAGAATTTTTCTAAAATTGTGTTTGTTGATATTTCCTACCTGTGAACTCCTCCATTTTTTACCACATCTGGTAAATCACTGAACCTCCACTCCTAATGGTTTTTCAGCATAACATTTCTTATTGCATCTTATTTGATCTGAATTATGAGCACTTTCTGATTATTTGCACCGCTACCAAAAAAAAGCATGACAGAGTATTTAAGTGCTCATGTCACCGAAAAGTATTTGTCACTTCTCGTAATGTAACCAAAAAAAAAAAATTATGTAACAAGCAACCCAGATATGTGCATAGCATCCCCCAAGATGGCTTTCCTCTTCTTTGCACGTTTTGCCATTATGACTGCAAATTATGATCAGCTGGGACATTTCAGTGAGGGGTATGGATAATCGGGAAGTATTGAATTATCCTTAACTTATTGATTATTTCAGAAAACACATTTTAGCTTTCATCTAATTTTTTAATTTGCTTTTAAAATTTGTACGGTTCAACAGTGTTGATGGCCAAATATATCCAAGGTTTTATTTATTTATTTTGTAAAATTTAAAATCTTGTATATACTCAGTCGTATATGTTAGGGGATAGCCTACCGTAGACATTTGTAAAACTTTATCATTAGATTCAAGCAATGTTTAATCAGTTAATATTCATAATTAATTTTGTTTTACATCAATCTTTGATACATTACTAAATTTATGCTCATAAATGTGATGTATATTGATTATAGCACTTTCTGACTACCTGCATTCTCAGTTTTAACATTAAATTACTTTTTATAAAGGTGTAGTCTTTTGTCATCTAATGTCAAAAATTTTTACCCGAGTATCATTTAAACATTTTGTAAAAACTGACTAAGAAAAATGAAGTCCTGTTCCATTCAAATCTAGCAATTGTCCTTTGGGATAATAATCAATCTTCGTAGGACTAGAACTTCTGTTCATTCAATGTATGGTTCAGTCTCGACAGGGACCATACTAGTACTGTCTTGCCTGTTCCTTGGCTGTGGAGTTGCTATATCGTAAGATATTGTGGCTATCCTCGGGAGTTTGGTTCTATTCGGTCCTTTCAACTTTTAAAGGCCTTTTCCTTACAGAAGTATGGAATACCCCACTGAATTTATCAATGCAACTGAAGTGGTGCCTAGGAGCAAAGATGGCTTTTAATTTTATCTTGCCATAGTGTTATTACCCTTCTCATGCTCTGCTTAAGGCTCAGAGAGGACCGTGGGGGCTGTGCCCACTAAGATGATCTCCATAGACGAAACATCCTGGAAGGTTACGGCCAGGTCACGAGTTCATCTCTGGTGTTCTGTCCTTTTGAGGGGAAAAAAGATCATTGATGTCACCAAAATGCCAAACTAGACATTTGCAAATAGAAAATAACATCTTATCACTCTCAAAAATACACATAGCATTAGCACAAATTCATACATACATTGAGAGAAAGGAATGGAATTTTAAAAATTAAAATGATTGCAAGTTTCTAATACAGATTTTGGAAAGCACTGTACAGCAAAATAAGGTTAGGAGTTGCTATTTAGAGCTGTTTGATTATCTTTTAGAGTATATGAGTACAATATTGTGGAGTTGTAAATAATAGTTTGTAGTTATTAGAAGATATTTTACCAAAGAACTTTTTCGAACTTCTGTT